TTTGTTTTATTTGCTACTCCGTGAATTACGTATTCATGATGTTTCCAAACGCCACCGTTCCTGTATACCCAAGCCTCCCAATAAACACCTGCCTGTAGGTTTTTGGCGTGATATGCCTCTGTGTTCACTCTGTGCTCCTAGTTTGTCGCACAGTAATTCAACATTTCCAGAATGACTACTCCTCATCGAAATGTAAATACTGATAGATCCGAAGTATACAAAAATAAATAACACCTAGTTTCCTTTATCCAACCCTATTTGAATGGCCAGTGCTTGTCCTCTTAGAGCCTTAATGAAACAGGATCTATGAATGGAGGGGAGGACCTTTTAATCATCTGTGCCCTCTATTCATAGATCTTTTCTATAGCTTCTATGAATGGATGACCTGGATGAATAGCGTGGGCATAGTTGGGCATTTATGGTGAGTCTCTATCACAGCTTTCTAATTTCTATTATCCCCTGTCACTCTGGAAGATTGAGGCAGAGGAGAGAGTTGTGGGATGCAGATTTCAAGGGATTTAGGAGTCAGCAGTACAAGGGACACATTGGCTTAATAGTAAGTTACAGTATGTCCGTTCCATTTTTTTTTTTTCACTATGTCTAGGTTTTAAGCCACCAGTTGACACTGTGTATGTATCAAGTATCAAGGAAAATACCTTGTAACCAAGATGCTAGGGATGCCATATTTTATATTACCCTTTCAGTTCTTCTTTGAAACTGCAATGACCAATAGTTATTGTGGCTGTCAAGTTTGCCAGAGAGAGTCATTGTCATATTCTTGACTTTACCAGAACTTAGCGGGTAGAATAATTTTGAATACAATATATTTGCACGTATTTACAAAACAGTCCCATAGATGTAAAGCATATTGCACATTTGGCAGAATCCTGTATATTTTTAATCTTTTCTGTTAGTAGTGCATATATGCAGACATAATTATATGCCAGTAAATAACTCCGGGCACTCCTTCAGTAATTGCCAACAATAACTGATTGCAGTAGTAAGAGAATTTCAGGCAGCTTCAATTACATGGACTTGTGGTAAAACTTCCCTTTTATGTGCTGCTGAGGTGTGAGGACAACCCTAATTAGGCATTGTAACATTTTACAACATCCTGCAAACTGGCAGGAAATGGAAATGTGCGGTGGGCAGCTTTAAAGATTATTAAGCATTTTATTTAGCACTAGGGTGATTTCAGATGCCCTGGCCTGCACACTGCTGTGAGGGGAACCACTTTATAATGTCATAAGAAGTGCAGGAATGTGAAGAGTGTGGACCTGGGGAAATGTGTTACTGCTACTTTTATTGGAGGGACATTAAAGGGTGTTTGCAGCCCTACTGATCACTGAAAAAAGTGTTCTAAACAGCAAGTTATGAGCCTTTTTAGTTGGCCAAGACAGCTGTATTTAATTGTGATTTTCAGAGTTTAGACAATCATCAGAATACGCTACGTTCAAACTATTTCTTGCAAGTATATTAATGCTTTACTTATAGTATAGTATATTAATGCTTTACTTTACTTATAGTGTCCAATAAGCACCTGCTCAACTGGTTTGCTGAATTTAAAGGGACTATTCTTTATGGTAACTTAAATATTGATTATTGACTCACATTAGAGGAGATATAGGTGAACATATCAACTCATCTTAAATAGGGAGCACCCACATGGGATCTCCTTATCTATGAAGTTTTGATGTATAAGCAGTATATGAAAGGACGCTGCCTATTTTCATCTAACATTAATCTTATGCTTATTTTAGAAGTGAAGTATGGTTAAAGCTCTGTTGGCCATACTTCTCTTGTGGGTCATAGGAGTGCAGCCCACTGTCGGCTGACGTCACTAAGGGGTTTATTTACTAAAGCTGGAGAGTCCAAAATCAGACTCCCTTCTGCATAGAAACCAATCAGCTTCCAGGTTTCATTGCCAAAGCTTCATTGAACAATTGAGGTTAGAAGCTGATTGGTTTCTATGCAGAAGGGAGTCTGATTTTGGACTCTCCAGCTTTAGTAAATAAACCCCTAAGTGTCTCTGGATGTAACCTGACAATATTGTCAGGTTCCACCTATATGCCTGATCGGCAACTGGCTCAGCCTTTCAGTGCACAGCTTACAGCCTCTCACCCCTTCTCTGGTCTGGTGCTCCAATGAGTACTGGAAGGACAGAGCACAGACTAGTGACTGACAGTCACTTCTCTGTGCTCAGAGCGGACCTCAAAACTGAGCGATCAGTGGTCAGCTTAAAGCCAGTAGGGCAACTGCAGCCATATAGGGTTCTATGTATGCTTTTTTTTTCCTGCACTCCTGCTTTAGTTTCAATTTCTATTGTATTTCATTTGTGTATATATTTTTTGTGATTTTTTTTGGGAGCAGTACTAATTGGCAGGTGTGATATAGACAAACATGTTAGGTCTGCCATAGGAACTATTGATTTCAAGGATGGTAGCAAGGATTTTTCTCTCCTTCTTTCACTCCCATTTTCTCTAAATGCTTCTGTACAGGAAATTGTAGCAATCTCACATGAACATCACTTCAGGGACTTGTATATTAGTTGCATTTAGAAATACATTTATAACCCAATCGTACTTTCAATTTAAATTGGCTAAATATGTTTCAGGTGCATCAAAAGGTATCCAAAATGTACTTTTTTTATTTACAAAACAGGCACAAAGATAAAAACCATTGGAAATGCTGCAGAGGACATTGTGAGATGTTGCTCTCTTTCAAGCTGGAGTTTGGTTTTAAAATATACAGTCGATCTAAGGTGTAAATGCATTGGATGCATCTTAATATTTTTTCCTGTTCTTGCAGTATTTTCAACTTCGAGAGCAGCCTCATCCCCACTATGGTTTCCTTGCCAGGGAACTAGGCTGTTTAGTAAGACAAAATAAATTAACTTTTCCTGTTAGCTCAACAAAAGGTGAAAACCATTGAAGGTTTTTCAGAAGCTGAAAGAAATTAAATACCATTTCCCTAGCATAAATGTTCAAATCTTGGCAGCTTGTGATTGCTTTTCTGGGCAAACATGCAAAATAATATAACTTTTTTTTTTCTTATTAAAATAATTTAATGTGTAACCTTACCTTCTAGGCCTAATACACACTGAAGGTTTTATGTCATTTTTACAGGTGTGTTGTCGTTTTTTTTTTTTTTTTTTTGCCTCTAAATGCCCCCAGTATTAGCTTATGTGTCTATGCACACATAGGCATTTCATTTAAAGGCTTTTGGAGGCAGAAAAAACCCCCAGAGCCAGAGTATTCAGGAGAGAAGTATCCTACCACTAAAAATGCTTGATGTCCCTAAATGCGTCTAAACATGCATTAATGCTAGCCATGTCCATTACTTGAGCATTCATTAATTTCAATGGCCAGAATAAGTTAATATTCTGGCAAATGAAATGAATGAACGCTCAAGTGCTTGACACACTTAAATGCACCTAAACATGTACATGGGGCCTTACTTTTACCAGCTCCTTATTTGCTTGGACTGTGTTGCTACCAGTACAGGTTAAAGTGGTTGTAAACCTCAGAAATGAAATATGAACAAAGCACATCTCTCTATAGTATGTACTTCTCTCAATCCAGAGCTCCAAGTATAATTTTTGTCTGCTGGTTTATTTCTTTGTTATCAGCATGAATCACTTCTGGCAAGTTTTCCCAAACTTAAAGCGGAGCTCCACCCAAAAGGGGAAGTTCCGCTTTAAGCCTTTGTCCCCCACACCCCATTAAGGATTGGCACCTTTTGGGGTGCGGGTACCCGAATTTAACAGGTACCCGCTCCCACTTCCACTGCAATAGCCTAGGCGATCAGAAGCGGAAGTTGTCCTCCCCCCTCCCCTCCCTGTTGTCTTATGGGACACATGACAGGTCTTGGAAGACTACGGGGCCATTCACAAAGCACAGCGCTTCTCACACATGCGCAGTGGGCACCCGGCTGTGAAGCCATTAGCTGTCCACAATGAACATGCCAGCGCCAGGGAGAGAACCAGTGGTGGTGAGGACACTGCTGGACCGAGGGAGAGGTAAGTGGCTGTAGTTCAAAAGTCAGCAGCTACAGTTTTATTTTCTTTTTCTCAAGTGGAACTCCGCTTTAAGAGGTAAAGAGGTGACTGGGAGGAAGCCCTAACACACAGCCTGTTATTGACAGTCTCAGCTTTGATCTTGTGTTCTGAGTGAAGGGTAGTGTCCCCCTTCCCTCCAATGAGCTCTGCTGAGTGTAACTTTAGCTCTCTGCCCCCTGTTTTCTGAAAGCTCAGACAAGCTGTATAAATTCTGGACTTTGAACGGATGTAGAGAAGAGATGGCTGCAGATAAACAGGTACAGCATATGTAGGATTTTGTTTAATCTGCATGTATCATCTGAAGCTAGTCACTTCATCGGGTGTATGTAAGGGTTTATAACCACTTTAAATGAGTTTAAACATGTATAATAAACTTAAAAGCCTGTTTAGAATTTCAGTAGTTTATCAAAACTGAAAGTAATGCAGATACTGAGGAATGATAAAAGAAACACACCATCACTGGAGACAAGACCTGCACACAGAAAAGAAAGCAGTTCCATAAATGCCTGTTTGAACTGACCCATTCACCCATCACCATTCACCAATGTCATGAAATGCTTGGTAAGCATTGTTAATATTAACCTATATCTAGTTTAACCGCTTCCCATCTGCCCCGTAGCAAAATACTGGGGTGAGCAAAATCATGTCTATATATACACTTTATTTTGCATTCCTGGGTAAGGGGCATGCGTGCGCTCTACCCACGGCTGTCAATCACTGGGTCCTGGCCACTGATTACTCGCCGGCGCCCAGTGATCGCCAAGCATCTTCGACGAGGGGGGAGTTTTCTCCCGTCAGCTCCTGTTTTCTCCTGTCAGCTCCTGCACACTGCTTTGCATGCAGCTATGCAAAGCAGTGTGCTTACAGTGAAGCGCAAACACAGCCACACAGTATAAAACAGCACACTGTTGATCACCCCACATGTTAACCCCTTCTTGCCTAGTGCCATTAGTACAGTCAGTACTTTTTTTATTAGCACTGATCACTGTATTGGTGTCACTGGGGATGTCAGTGACACCAAGTCAGTTCCCCCCAGTGTCAGAATACCCGACGCAGTCCTGCTGTAAGTCGCTGATCGACGCAATTACTAGTAAAAATAAAAAATAAACAAAAAAAATTCTAGTATATACACCGTCACTTGTAAACGCTATAACATTCACATAAACCAATTTACACAGATTGGGATTTTTTTTAGCAAAGACATGTAGCAGAATACATTTTAGCCTAAATATGACTAAAGTTGATTTAAAAAGTGTTTACTGGACACGTTTAATAGCAAAAAGTAAAAAATAGTTTTTTTTTTTTCCCCTCTAAATTCTTTTTTTTTAATAGCGCAAAAAATAAAAACCACACAGGCAATCAAATACCACCAAAAGAAAGCTCAATTCGTGGGGGAAAAAAAATGACGTAAATTTCATTTGGTTAAAGTAACGCAGCGCCGTAACGCAAAAAATGGCCTTGTCAGAAAGGGGGGTAAATCCTCAGGAAGGCAAGTGGTTAAAACCAGTAGCATAGGGATATGCGTTGTACTAATGTTTATATAATTCAAATTCCCCTAAACAGCATGAATGAAGTTCAATGTAGATGCACATTCCTTGCTTTTCTGCTGCTGCTCTGCTTCCCTAATAGAAGATAAGTAAAAGATAAGTAAAAGTCAACACACTATCAAAAAATCATAAAACGTTTTGCCTTTTTACAAAGCCTTTATCCCTTATTAGTTTATAATTACATTATTGACAGAAAAAAAGCCCCTGTTATCATTAAGACCCTTGCAGCTTTGCATTATCAGCCAATTGCTCTTTTAAATAATGATTTTAAAATATTCTCCTCCATAATATTCAATAGACTCAATAAATTACTAAATACATTTGTGGGTAAGAAACAAGTGGGGTCCTTCCCTTTCCAGCTGGCAGTTCATGAAACAAGAATATTACTTTAATTGGTGCAAACCCCATATTAATTTAGCACCTTAAAGAAACATATTTGTGCAAACTTCACAAATATGCCTAAAGCACAGCTTCAGGCTAGATTTGGTACTGGCATTAAAAATTTAAAAAAATCAACACTGGTTGCAATAGTCTTCTCCTTTTTAAAGAGCTATTTACTTTCAATAAATTATTTTTGCCACAAGATGTCTTCAGTCTTCTAGGTTGAATGACCTTCAGCTAAGACAGTGTTTCTCAACTCCAGTCCTCATGGACCCCCAACAGGTCATGTTTTCAGGATTTCCATTATTTTGCACAGGTGATTTGATCAGTTTCACTGCCTTAGTAATTACCACAGCTGTTTCATCTGAGGGAAATCCTGAAAACATGACCTGTTGGGGGTCCATGAGGACTGGAGTTGAGAAACACTGAGCTAAGAGGACCCTGCACATTATGTGACCAGCCTAAAGACATCTAGAAAAGTAAGGATTAAAAAGTATTTAATAATAAAGCAAAAAAAAGGAGTTGATGGGGAGCCAGCATGGGAAGAAAAGGGGGTGACTGAGGGGCAGATCCATTCTTAAGCTTTAGGGTACTATATTCTTGTAAGGCAAAGGGAGTGAGTGAGGGTCAGATTCAGAGTTGAGCTTTGAGGTAGTATATTTCTACAAAGCAAAGGGAGTGTCTGAAGGTCAGATCCAGAGTTGAGCTTTGAGGTACTATATTCCTACAAGGTGAAAGGATGGACTGAGGGTCAGATCCAGAGTTGAGCTTTCGAGGTACTTATGGAACCCTTTATAATATAATAAAATTTATATTATATTACTTTTGTTTACCCATGACTTTCTATGAGGAATATATCATTTCTTTGGGAGCTATATGAATCTTAGAAAAGCAGAATTGCAACCTTTCAATAGAAGTATGAGTAAGTCCTCATAGATATGTTCTCAGGTAGACTTTGAGCTTTGGGGAGTTGTTCGACCATGTTCAACCAAATCAAGTAAATTTGGATTATTAATGACAAGAAGAGATGTACTGAAATTTGAAATTTGAGGATATGAGCACAGTTTCTGATTTAGGAGACACAACACTTTCTGTGTTTATTCCAGATTAAGTGAGACCCCATAATGGTGCCAGACTTCAGCATGCTTATAATAGGATTGGTCATCAGCAAAACAGCCTGAGACTGTATTAATTGTAAACCTCAGTAAAATAATAGGGAATATTCTCTGTTCCTTTGTTGATAAACATCTTGAGGAAGGTTTCATGGTAGGAATATACTACTTGCAGGTAAGCTCTAGTGGATCTGACCCTCAGTTCCTCCCTTCGCCTTGTAAGAATATAGTGGCTCAAAGCCCAACTCTGGATCTGCCCCTCAGTCACCCTGAAGTCACGTGATTGATGATTAAACTAGTTGGGCGTAGCCGGTTATGTAATCTCCTGACGTGCTATTCTGAAGTTTCGTGAGAAAACTGTTTGATTTGGATTCAATGCTGTATTTTATTATGCTATTATGAGTACATATAGTATGTAGCAGAATAAATCATTTTTTATTCAATATACAAGGTGAGCTATGGTATGATTGCTATTCCTTTTTTTAGCTTGATTCACATTGGAACCAGCAAGGTGAGGTCTCTTAAACGGACCACATGTGGAAGTGGCCGCAGAAGGATACTCACCTAAGCACCTATTTCTTTTAGGTGTAATGTTAAGGTGAGCAGGCACTGCACTTAGAGGTGGACATTTGCAGCACTGGGATTATGAGCACTTATTCAAGCATTTTTATGTAGTGTTTGGAGGGCTGATCACATTGTATGGACACTTGAAAGTGAATTAGTGTTTGGCATCACAGTATACTGTGTAGAATGGACTTAGAATTTTCATATGTTGTATGTTTATCACAATTGGTTGCAAGCATGTGTGCACTGTTATGCTATTTTTGAAATTGGCATTCTCCGTGCATATTTGAGCTATTGATTTTTAAAGGAACAGCACACCATTTTTTTCTATACATCACACATAAGTATCTCACAGAAGTGAGTACACACCTCACATTTTTGTAAATATTGTATTCTATCTTTTCATGTGACAACGCTGAAGAAATTACACTTTGCTACAATGTAAAGTAGTGAGTGTACAGCTTGTATAACAGTGTAAATTTGCTGTCCCCTCAAAATAACTCACACACAGCCATTAATGTTTAAACCACTGGCAACAAAAGTGAGTACACCCCTAAGTGAAAATGTTCAAATTGGGCCCAAAGTGTCAATATTTTCCAGCACTGCTTTAACCTTCTTGGGCATGCAGTTCACCAGAGCTTCACAGGTTGCCAATGGCGTCCTCTTCCACTCCTCCATGATGACATCACAGAGCTGGTGGATGTTAGAGACCTTGCGCTCCTCCACTTTCCGTTGAGGATGCCCCACAGATGCTCAATAGGCTTTAGGTCTGGAGACATGCTTGGCCAGTCCATCACCTTTACCCTCAGCTTTTTTAGCAAGGCAGTGGTCGTCTTGGAGGTGTGTTTGGGGTCGTTATGTTGGAATACTGGCCTGCGGCCTAGTCTCCGAAGGGAGGGGATCATGCTCTGCTTCGGTATGGTACAGTACATGTTGGCATTCATGGTTCCCTCAATGAACTGTAGCTCCCCAGTTCCGGCAGCACTCATGCAGCCCCAGACCATGACACTCCCACCACCATGCTTGACTGTAGGCAAGACACACTTGTCTTTGTACTCCTCACCTGGTTGCCGCCACACACGCTTGACACCATCTGAACCAAATAAGTTTATCTTGGTCTAATCAGACCACAGGACATGGTTCCAGTAATCCATGTCCTTAGTCTGCTTGTCTTCAGCAAACTGCGGGCTTTCTTGTGCATCATCTTTAAAAGAGGCTTCCTTCTGGGATGACAGATATGTAGAAAAATTTGATGCTGTGTGCGGTGTATGGTCTGAGCACTGACCCCCACCCCTTTAACCTCTGCAGCAATGTTGGCAGCACTCATATGTCTATTTCCCAAAGACAACCTCTGCATGTGACGCTGAGCACATGTACTCAACTTCTTTTTCGACCATGGTGAGCCTTGTTCTGAGTAGAACCTGTCCTGTTAAACTGCTGTATGGTCTTGGCCATCATGCTGTAGCTCAGTTTCATGGTCTTAGCAATCTTCTTATAGCCTAGGCCATCTTTATGTAGAGCAACAATTTTTTTTTTTTCAGATCCTCAGTTATTTTCACTTAGGGGTGTACTCACTTTTGTTGCCAGTGGTTTAGACATTAATGGCTGTGTTGAGTTATTTTGAGGGGACAGCAAATTTACACTGTTATACAAGCTGTACATTTTTTCAGTGTTGTCACATGAAAAGATAGAATAAAATATTTACAATAGGATGTAGGATACTGTATATACTGCATATGCTGTGTGCGTAAGAAATATATATATATATCACACATAGTTACATAGTTAGTCTGGCTGAAAAAAGACAACCATCCAGTTCAACCATTAAAAAAAAAAAAAAAAAAAAGTTATAATCCTACACCCACAACTGATCCAGAGGAAGGCAAGAAACCCAGCAAAGCTTGATCCAATTTGCTCCTGCAGGGGAAAAATGTCCTTCCTGATCCCCCGAGAGGCAACAGGATATTTATTGGATCAACTTTACCTATAAATGTTAGTATCTGGTTATATTCTGTGTATCCAATAAAAAAATCCAGGCTTTTTTTAAAGCAATCCACTGAGCTGGCCAGAACCAACTCTTGAGGGAGTCTATTCCACATTTTCACAGCTCTTACTGTGAAGAAACCTTTTCCGTGTTTGGAGATTAAATTTATTTTCCTCCAGACATAAAGAGTGCCCCCTTGTCCTCTGTGATGACATCAGGGTGAATAACTCTACCAAGTTCACTATATGAACCACTAATATATTTATACATGTTGATCATATCCCCCTTAATCTCCTCTTCTCAAGAGAGAATAAATTCAGTTCCTCTAATCTTTCCTCATAGCTGAGCTCCTCCATGCCACTTATCAGTTTGGTTGCCCTTCTGTGTACTTTCTCCAGTTCCCCAATGTTCTTTTTGTGAATTAGTGCCCAAAATTGAACTTCATATTCCAGATGAGGTGTTACTAATGATTTGTACAGGGGTAAAA